TTATGGATCTTCATTCCAAATTTAATCTTATAGATCATATTAAATATGATTGGTGGATATCCAGTATCTTGGGTATACTTTCGTTGTCATCCAAGAAATTCTTGAAAAAATTCTACACAACAGTATTTTTTGTTGATGCTGTTTTCGTTTTAGGTAATAGGAATTGAAAAAAATGGCAATATTAACATTGGTTCAGTTTAAAAATTAAGCAGTTTCTTTTCTGATTGCTTATACTTTGGATTTTTATTATTCGCATCGACTAATGAATGATTTAAGAAATTTCTACAAAATTACAACTTTGTTTTCCTAATAAAAATCATGTACATTGGGAAATGGATACCCATGCATTTTTAACACCAGATGAAATATGGTACTTCTGCGAAGCTCATGAAAAAATATTTCATAAGCGTGGCAGAAACAATAAGCCAGTACTAAAACCTGCAAATCGCGCACTGAAATATTTACAAAAAGAAGAATCCGAAAGCTTATGATGAAAATGCGAGGTATCAAACATATGCATCTTACTCTATTACTTTGAATCTTTACTTTACATCTGACTTTGAATTTTTTAATATTAGAAATGTTATTTTGTTTTTGTATAAATTTAACAATCTTTTAACTCAGATTTTCTTAAAAAGTTTGGTTTCTTATAATGTTGCTGATTAGGTTTAATAACCGGGAACTGCGACTTTGATTGTTTGCTACTTTTCTCGATGCACACGTTTTAAAAGAATTTGGAGTATCTGTATTAGCATCACAAATATTTCGGTGGGAAAGGTGGCAAATTTTGATGTAAGTCTCTCTTCTCCAAAAATTCGCTGCAATCTACTGTTAATTTACCATTTATTTAAAAATATTTACGTTTAAACGGCGTTATTTTAATTATTTGAGACTTTAGGTATTTCCCTCTTTCAATGAATTTTTAGAATAATTTTAACACGGTTTAAAGAGTTACAAACTGTCATATCTTAATAATTTAGGTATTTTATTGCACACTTACGTATTACGTATCAAGGAGCGATTATCATATAATGACGAAATAAATTAACAGAAAAGAGGTAAATACTATGGTAAGTTTCTGTAAATATCTAATTTCTTTGGAATGCATTCTTGTTCTCATGTATTATTGTGATACTGTTCATTTATTATTTAATTTTTAATTTCTGCATTTAAGAAAATAGTATTAGAGTTTGTTTTGTGTATATTTGAATTTGCGGCCACATGTATGGTATATATGTGTTTGGTTAATGTATAGATCATTCAATTCTGAATCCAATAACGGTTAGATTGCTAAAATAGCTCTCATCTTGAACGCGAGATATGGGAAAAAAAAAAAAACTCCTGATGGGGATTCGATACCTCACGGGTGACAAACTGTTGTCTCCATGATAACAACGTTTAACAATTTCTCTCCAACTTGGCGATTTTCTGAAGTTTCGGAAAAAAGTATTCTTGAAGTTCTGACAGCGTTTTTTCCCGAAGTTTTCAGAATCTCGCTCAGCACCATATAAATACGGTACCGAGAACCATATTGAGTCGATTTATTAGGTTATAACAAAGTATGCCGGGGCTATTTGCCTAAGGGAAGAGGAGCCTTCGTGGAGAATTTTCTAAGATAAACTGGCTCGTATTCCCGTTGCATACTGGCAGAATCACGAAAACGTCCATGCAGCCAGATTGAGTCAGTGGTTGCTGGGGTCTGAGAGACTGCTGTTTAAAGCGTTAGCTGATTTCCATTATAAAGTTTATTCTGTGAGTGATATCGATAATTTAATAAAGATATTTCTTGTATGTTAAGGAGGACTTACTTAATATCCCTGTTCTCCTTGATTTATTTACAGTCATTTATTTTGTTGTGAGTCATTACTATTTGTTATAAATTGTTAATTTATTCCTGCTCATCAGGAGTAATTATTTAAAGAGACATCTACAAACCCGTCGCACAACAATATTGTTTTTAACACAGTAAAACTCAGGAAAAGAAATAGTAATTAATATAAGTAAATTGATGAATGAATATAAGTTAATTCATGAATTATGAACTTAACAATTTCAACTTCTTTCATGTTACTGTTAGAAAGGGCCAGAAAGAGTACGAAAGTGAATTGAGGACGATGAAAATATGTCAAGCGAAAAATATTTCACGAGCGTCGCAGGAGTAAGCCAGTTCAAAGCACAAAAAATTTTAAATTCAAAGCAATACACAACTACAAGTTGAAGCACGAGAGAACAAGGATAAACTGCTGGCCATCCAAACTGCAACACCATGAAGCACGATGAAGCTTTAGCACCATGAAAGAAGCAATAAAGCAGCATGAAACTTGCATCACGTGTATACAACCGATAGAGTACGCGAATGATTACGATTTCAGCACACGTGCATATCATATGTAAGTGCAGCGCTCCTTACAATCTATATACAAAGGGAGGAACGATTGCCGTTTTGAATAACGTGAATTGTTCTCTCGTGAGGTTTGTTTGTGTGGGCAACTTCAGTATGCTTATTAAGAAACACTTCAAACATTATTCAAAACATTATTCACAACCAAACATGAGGATCATATGAGCACGTTTCTGATTTCGACCGAGGCAGTCGTTGCATATAGAGATTGCAGATCATCACGTCGGACGCAACCAAGCAACAATCATGCGAGTATGGAATCGGTGAATGTTGAAAGGAAAACGACTTACGGACAGCAGCAATTGCAACCGCCTCGTCATACTACTCCACTGGATGACAGGCATATTGTGCGCATGAGTGTGATGGAGCGCACTTGCACATGCGCAAGCAAAGCATAACGAATGCAGTCTGTAACAATCGGGGTCTGCACGAATAATTCGACGTCGTTTACAGTACAATGGACTGTCCGCTAAGCGTCCATTGTTTCGATCACCTTTAAAACATAAGCGCACGCGTTTGCGTTTGTACGGCGGACATGGGCATCCGTATTTACATCCGTACGGCGGACATGGGCATCCACATTTCAACAGGACGATGCGCACCACACGTTACGCGCAATATTCAAACTTTCTTCTTAGCCCACCATATTGCATTGTTACCTTGGCCCATCCGCTCTCCATATCTACGGCCGAACGAACATGTCTGGTCAATGACTGGAAAACGCAATGCGCTGCATGCCGCAGCCGCATGTACACCAGGTGAATTTTGGCTATGTGTGGAGGTGGCATGGACTGCCATTCCCCAGCAACACATCCAAAGCCTCATTCACGCATTGCCGCGGCGTGTAGCAGTGGTTATTGACAAACGTGGAGGCAACACTAATTACTGATTTTCTCCTCTTCCTCAGTTCAAAGAAGGCTGCATTTCATTTTAATTAGCATTAATACTATGTGTAATCTCTGAAATAAATTTGGCTTTGATATCTGTTGCTCTTCTTCGTGTTGCATTTCGGATGGACAGCAGAGTAGAAGTTTATGAAAGAATGCACAGTTAGCAATGGATTAGTGCAAGGAAAAAAGTATTAAAAAAAGTATTAAGAATAATGAACGAAGAAAGTGCCTTTATGTTTTTAAGGTGTAATCTGAAGATACATTTACATTACAGTTGCCTTTTCTCCCATTAATATAATTTATATTTCCTAGAAATTTTTATTTAAAAAAATTTTACAATATAGTCTTTCAATTTATATGATTTTTCATTAATACATCTTGCAATTTATACGACATTTTTTGCGGATCTTTTTAACACACAAGTAATTCAAATTTATTTATTTACATATAACTCATAACTGCATATAATTGTACCTAAAAATTGGAACTATTTTATTCGGGGTAGAGAATGTTGAAATTCAAAACAAAAAAAAAAAAAAAAAAAAAAAAAACTGTCTCTATATAAAATGATATAGAAATTGATGACGTAGCGGAGAATACGACTGCGGAGTGACGGAGCTTGATGCGCAGAAATAGTGTGGCAGGCTAATATTGCTTTATTTTCGTTGGCAAACAATTTTTAAGTAAACACAGAAAAATTAGAGCAATAAGAGCTCCTATTCGATACTTTTGCCGCCCAGACAGTGTGATAGTTAATGTCTCCAATTGTCGTATTTGAAGGGCCCGCGTTTGAATCCCGGAAAAGCCATGGATGTTTGTAAGGGTTCAATGGCTGTAGGCGGCATTCAAAATACGCGACAGGCTAAAATCCTTTCAAGAGATTGTGGTAAGGGAAGACCTTCGGACCGCTTCCTGGGGTTTTTTCCCTCAGAAATTTATCCGGCCCGAAACCTCAGCAGTTAGCAAGGTCCGACGATATCTAATATGCTTATTTGGACGCAAAGGTGCCGGTCTTGCTTCAACCTGTACTTATTCGATACTTTTAGATATTTTTAATACATTTGAAGAAAGGAGTAACGTGCTGGCAGAATAGCAAGAGAAGGAATTCGACATAGCCTAGAAGAAATCCCATTCAGAAAAAGTTAGTTTTCGTTCAGCTTCGTTCTTATTGGTTAAAATGAAGTTTTAATTTGCAAATTTGAAATTATTATTGCCTGAAGCATTACATAAGTGCCTGATTCATTAGCTTTATGCAAGAGTCACGGGACAAAGATTAATTCTGAATGACGCAGTTTAGTACACTTTGTTATAAGCAATTATTATTTTTAGAGCAAAAAGAGGAAATAATTAAATTAAAATATAGAGTTAAGGAGCTTTTGAAAATTGCAGTTAATATTTTGATTTAAATATTTTTTATCTTACACACACATACACATATATATAACAAAACTTTATTATAGATAGATAGCTAGATGTAGATATATATAGTGTTGGCTATTAAAATTGCTACTTCAGTGAGGTAATTATGTAACATTTTAAAATAATTTTAGAATTTGCTGTTTCGTTTAAGAATTATTTACCTGCTTCATTAGCATGTGATTAAAACTAACAAAAGTTCATTAAACATAATATACTTTAGAATTTCATTCAAATATTATTTTTTAAACAATGCCCAAATTTAATATTAAATTACCTTTTATTCCACACAGCTATCGTATCAATAATGTTTTCCATGAAAGTTGACCGATTTAAGAACACAAAGATATCATTCTCCACAAAGTATTTGGACAGAAACTCGGACGAATATCGTATGATGGAATATGAAGCTAGAAAAGGAGTAAGTTATTTAATAACTTCATGTTTGTAATGCCCTTAGATACCAGTAATAAAATTTATAATAAGAATACAAATATTATTTAGAGTTCATAAGAAAGAGTGAATCTATAAAATTTAGTGAAATTTCTTTAAAATATTTTAAACAAAACTTGCTTACAAAAATTAATTAGATTGTTGAGTAAATGTACTTTTAAATATTATGCATAGGCACATGCAAAGTTAATCACTTATCTATCTAATTGTTTAATTTTTGTTCCAGATACTTGCTTTGCACCGGAAAAATGCATTATTACTACACTCATATTCAGTATTTTTAGGTCAGTTATTTTAAAAATGGCAATTTAGATTAATATGTCGTTTTCTTAAAAATTTTGGTATCGGGTTCTTCATTACAGCAAGTGCATAAATGCGCACCATATTTAAGACGCCTTTGCGATGCATGAGATTGGCATTCAATAAAATAACTTTGAATTAAAAAGGACGTCTAACTATGTTCTAAGCCTATGTACCATGTAATATTTGTGCGATAAAGATACGTGCTGAAATGAGCGCATCACCCTTTAGGAGGGACAGGTGTTATTATTACATTTTTGAGAGGCAATAGATGCTGTTAGTCATTTATGTCCCTTAATATGAAATATAGTAAACATCATATATTGGCTAATTTCTTGATAAAAGTAGGCTATAAAAGTAGAATATTGGCAAATATTCAGGAATACATGTTTGCAGTCCATGGTGCAGCACCTTCTTATACCACCCTGGTGGGGCGAAATGTTTTGAGAAGATACACCGTCTTTCGAAGATGATCCCAGGCCAGGCCTAAGCGTGGTTGCGATGACTGAAGAAATTGTGTGCTCAAGTTGAATAATATATGATGGATTACAAACAAAAGAAAACTTCTCAGATTGCTATGGAAAAAGTCATCAGAGCTAATCAACAGGAAAATCCTGCATTGGGATGTCGAAGTTCTGAGCCGAATTGGTACCCTAAATGCTAATACCACAAATGAAAAACACATTCGAGTCCAATGTTTTGGAGTACTTCTTTCCATGATAAACGCCGATAAAATTTATTCACGGCGAGTTTCAAGATATGAAACCTCGCGTAACCACTGTGACTCAAAACTAAACAAGACAGTATGGCGCGGAAACATAATGGATCGCATCGACCTTCCAAATTCAGAAACCTACCGAGAAATTTTTGGATACGACTTTTGAGTAAAGTTGGATCACTACTTATTGACTACATCCACATAATACCACGAGTTTCGTTTTCCTGCTAATCTGTTAAACTAACTCCGATGAGTCAAAAATGTAAAACATCATAGCGAACTCAGCCGAAGTGTTGCTTCTGCGCTACAGCGCTCCTGCACACAAGCTTCAAATTTTCGAGACTGTTATTCGTCGTTACAAGATTTTTTTGCCCCATTCATCGTGTTCACCAGACCTAGTCCGTAAGTTACTTACTTTAATTAAAACATTAAAGCAAAATTAAGGTGGTTCACATTGCAGCGATGATAACAATTTGAAACATGCCGCTTAGAAATGGTTTGAAGGCTGCGACAAAACACTTTTTTCTCTTGGAAACCGAAGCTTAAGGGTGCTAATTGCAGTGAAGTCAAGAGGTGCTATTTAGAAAAACAATGAAATAGTTTTAAACATTTATCTTTTACGAGTGTTTTAGGCTTGAAACTAATAGAAATCTCCCCGTACATGTAAGCTAGAAATCTTTTTCATGAAGAATGAGTTATGAAAATAGGTTATGCGCAGTGCACTGAGAAACAACTTCATAAATCTGCAGTCCTTTTTCTCAGCCAACTTCAAGTGAAATTCGAACCTTGATTTAATGGAGTGACACTTTAGCACTACCTAATTAAAGCTAACAGCTAGTTTTGCATGGTTACATAAAATATGATCTAACCAGGTGAGGGAAACTGTTTTCGGCTGTCGGTAAAATTAACGGTAATTGAATAACTTTTTCTGATAATTAGAAACTTTTTCATATTTATTACATTATATTACATATAGTTAGGATTTATTATATTATTGCAAAGCATGCTAGGGCTGCCAAATTACATAGTTCAAGAGCTTTTCACTCAGCTCTCAGAATTTAAAAACTGCTTAAAATCTGTAATCCACAGGTGATTCTGAATCCACGAAATAGATAATTTTCAGTATAGATTGGAAATACTAACCATAAAATAATATTAGTGAGAAAGAGAGATAAGCGACCCTAATTCTGAAAAATATTATAAAATTATAAAAATTCTTTAAAGTAAGTCTATGGTATTACAGAAACATTTTTAAAAATATCTTTCTATGCATTAGCGTGGCACTGAAGGATTATATTGCTGATTATCATAAATTTTGTCTACCAGCATAGGCAAGTGAGAACATAATGAGGAGCATTAGTTTACAATGCACACGGTTCTTTAAAGTGTGACCTAACTCCCTTTACAGATCTTAATTATATATTATCTGGCAAATGAAAAAATACAGAAAAATTATATGCATATCATTTTTAAATGTAGGTCCTAAGATGTGCAGTGCACGTATTCTAGAACGTTGGAAGTGAATGGATACTTCATGAGAATTCTTCTTTTGGTTGTAACTATAGTCACTCGTACACTGCGGCGTTAAACGCTTCGGAAATCGGAAATGCTTACCTGGCGTCACCTCTTTGAGCAGTCAGAAGACATGATAATTATTGGGAAAGATGTCAGATTAAAAAAAATGAACTTTCAGATTTCATAGTCTGGGATGTCGCAATCGTTAAACGAGAAATTTGCAGAGTCATACAGTAACAATATACCTGAAGTCAGAAGTGTGTTGTTTATTCACACGACTCGTGAATAAACATACTTGCTGTAAGGACACATACACTGCACTGTGCTTTCATCCTTTTCATCATTTAGTTGGTTTTAACATCTTCACATTTTAAGAAACGCACAACATATGGCTGCAGGTTGATATTCAAACATCCAGCCATCGATTATCCGGTTCCTTCATATTTCCGGCATGAATTTTGGAGCTCATTTTCAAACTTACCGCATTGACACGCTACGGTTTTCCGAAGGTTCTATTTATATTATGACGGCTATGTACTCCAGAAATAGCGGCTGTATCTTTCTTGCCCATGTTAACAGCATTGTTGCTTATTCCTTCTCATTTCAACATTTATTTTCTGTTAAAATTTTTTTCTGACAGTGGATCAGAAATAAAATGTTTGTCGAAAAGTCAGTAACAAAAGGGAAAATTTGGAACTAGACCAAGTTCTCATAACCTGGTTTAATCTTCCTGTAAGTGTAGTGTGAAAATTTCTAGTGATTTATTAAAGAATAAGCCAAATTGTTTCATGAACAGCTTAGACTGCAAAACGAAGTTTTCAAAAACAACTTTCAGAACACAATGGGACACTATTCAGCAGTTGCTCCACACAAAAGATTCATCAACCTCATTTCTGCTTCCTATAGATTCATGTTCTCCTCCACATGTACAACTAACTGATTTATCAACACTTATATTTTCTGGAACAAAATGGGAATCGAGGAACAACTTCAAGCAAAATACACATAAAATTATGCACTATATGTCTGTTATTAGAAGAACTATTTGCATTGTTATGCCTAATATTTACTTATCTTTGTGAAACTAGTTGAAGGCAGTTTCAGTGAGAATAACGCTTGGAAATATCTAAATATTTAGAATTCTTTCTTATTTACCTATCAATTACATGAAAATTTGCCTTTTTATCTACTTTGTTAGAAATATATAAATTTCGGTTTTTATTTTTAGCTATCATCATTGTTTTCGCAAACAGCTTTTTCGAGGACATTCCTTGGTTTGACAGTCAATATGTTTTATCATATCGGAGGAAAATTAATAATCAACTCTACAGTCTTCTTAGAAGAAAAAGAATCTACTAGAACGCAGTCTGTTCGATTAAGGTTGAGACAAGAAATTGCTGAATCTTTAAAGAGGAGAAATCAAAACATTGGAGATAGTCATCTTTCTGTCGATGGTTCTTTGAGTCCTCTTATTGCTATTGAAGGTAAAAAGAGATATATAGCTAAATTTATAATACAATTCAATACTGTTTTATTTAACTTACTGTATTATAATTCCCGTTGCAACAGTAATGTGTGAAATTCATGTTCAGTTCTTTGAAACTTCAATAATCGTGTCCAATAAAAAATATCCCACGGTTGTCATGAAAAATGGGAGACTAAATTTATTTAAGAATTTGCAGAGTTTAATGTGCGTGTATGTATACAGGATGTCCTGTAAATATCATAAAATCTCTACATAACGTTACTGTTCACTCAAAATGTACAAAACTTGGCCCAAACCTTGTACCTCTAGGATCCATAATTTTTGAGTAAAAGATGAAAAAATATGACGTCACATCCATTCAGGAACAGGGGACATTATTTTAAGCAATATTAATATTAAAATTGAATAAATAACTTCTTTAACATTGCAGTTCGTTTGAGAAAATATTAATGTTAGATGTTTCAGTAGCATTTCAACATGCGAAGTTTTGCCGTTCGACATGATTTTCAGCCAAGTGAGACCCGATAATTTTTATGCAATAAATGCACCGGTTGCAAATGAAATGCATTAAACAAAGAATTAAGACTTCTGCATATATTGTGCGATCGGTAAATTATTAGGTTTTTTTTCTTTTAGCTTACAATCTACAAATATTCTACGATCGTATTAATAATTTATTTTAAATTTTAAATCGTCTATCCCACAGTTTATTTTCCCTACATCGCAAGTGACATCATTATTTTTGATTAATACTTTCCTCGAAAACTGTGGGGGATAGCAATGTACTTATAATTAATTCTTTGGCCACTATAGCAAGAAAACAGAATTGCATGAATTTTTGCATCAAATTTCGCAACGTGGCTTTTAAGCAGGTAGAACACGCTTTGATTTCATCCTTTAAAAACCTTCCTTTAAATTCTCTTTACTTCTACCTCATTTGAATATTGCGTGAGCCAAAGTTTACATTTTGGCAAGGAACTAGAAACAAGATTGATAGAAAAGGATATTGAGATAAAATAATGGGTCAGAAACTTAAATGATACTTTAGAACCCTCATCTATAAATTCAAGGAATTATATGTAAGAAAATTTAAAACTTGACTTAATGTATGATTGATATTTCATTTATTGCATTAAATGTACCTATAGGAAAATTTTAAAACAGTGGTTAATAATTGTCAGGGAGTATAGAATAAATCAAGCCATGAAATAATACCAGATACTTTTTATTTCTTTTAAATTTTTTCAAATATTTTTTTAGGTATTCAGATATATTTTCCGATTTTTCAGATATGCATTTTCCTATTTAGTTGCGCAAATAAAACATTAAGATCACTGATTTGGTATCGCTATTATGCTGTATGGTTTAATTCATAAGCTTTTCTTAAAACTGAAAATTTTTCTCCTTTTTTCTTCCCATTTATTACTTGTATTATCATTCCCGTACTCAGTGACGCAATTTTATGTCTTTTAAACACAGGGTTAAGCAATGCGTCGTAATAAGGTTGCCCATCTTTGCTTTTTAAAATTATAGTTTCGAGAATGATTTGATTATTTTAGTTAACACTTCGTTTCGACTATAAAAAAGGCAATAAAATATTTCATGGTTTATTCGTTTCCTGCTTTATTTTTAATCTAACGTAGCATCTGTGATACATCAAATCAATAAAGTAAATTCGATTTTAAATTACGCAGGTTTAAAATTTAAGGAAAAAATTGCAGACGGATATTTGACGAGAGCATGTTCGAATTCCTTTAGTTCTGATTAGAATGTAAATGCTGATTAAATACTATTTTACTACTATTTACAAAGAAAAACTAGAAAATACTAGTGTTTTTTTGTTAACTCTTTGTTTCAGGCATAATACAATGATCAGTGTAGAGAAAACTCAAATTGCTCAGCTAATCGTGGCTATTATAATTAGCGGTAGTTATGCAGTTTATGTGTACGATAATTAACTGTGAGGTTTATTTAGGATTTTTAACAGCGTAATTATTGTACATAGTAATAATTACGTACATAGTACCCCTTCCTCTCATTCTGAAGGTTCCTTTATCAAAATACTCGTTATAAGATGTTATGATACAAATTTTAAAACAAAAGTATAGCCGGAAAAAAAAAGAGAAAAAAAGTTTTATTTTTGAATAGATATATTATTTTTCTGTTATTTCTGAAGTGCAGATTGCGAAGATATCTCTAATAGAATAAAGCTGAAATTTACTATGTCGAAACTTTCAAATATAAGCTGCAGTTTTTGAGATATTAAATCATATAAAAATCATTACAATTAAAATATGAGATCTGATTTTTTTTATATCTACATTTACAGTTTTATATCTTAAATCTGAAATTCATTTTTCTTCTAGATGTCAATGAATGCTCAGATTCGAACCTAAATGATTGTGCTGTTGATGCTATATGTTTAAATGTTTTCGGTACATTCTTGTGTAGATGTAAGACAGGATACGTCGACCCTTTCATTCATAACGAGCGTCAGAGGGGCAGGAGATGTTCTGGTAAGTACCAGAGAAGTGATGGTCGTAGATTAACAATGTGAGGTACATCAGTTATAAAATTTAGAAAAAATGTAAAGATAATATTCTATAAGGCAAAGATAATTTTATTATTTCTAAATTTTGACTAAAAAAAGAGAAGTCTATTAGTTAAAATTACTAAATATTGATTCTCAATAGGTCGGGTTGGCCTACAAGTTTTGCTGATTTTTCCCATGTATGACTTAATAAAAGTTTGTTTCTAATACAGAAATTCCTCCATAAAGAGGGAATTTTTCTTAAGGCGTAAAGGAATTGCGTTGACATAAACAACTAGCCTTGAATTTAGTTTTAAACTTATTTATGTAGTAGCAAGTAAACTAAAATGATAAAGATCACCGCAGGAAAATGCAAATTTCAATTTTATGATTGTACTGACAGTATTTGTTTGAAAATCAAATAAAACTAAATTATGAGAATGAAGAGATGTAGAACAAAGTATTTTATAGATGAATATTAAACAATTTCTTCTTATTTATAATTTAATAAATTTCATGTTTAATTAAGTTACGCAGATAAAATTTCATGTATAAATTACAATTAGTATTTTTATTTGTTTAGTGATCTTAATATTTTTTATTTATTTAGTGAACTTGATATGTTTTTTTATATTTGAACATCGTAATAATCATATTTCATGTCAAATGGATTTTGTGGTTGACAGATATCTTAATTCTTGTATATAGAGAGTAAAAGATTTCTAACCTAAAAGAGATTTATCGTATTTTTCAGCTTGTTCACCAGAGTACTGCTCTTTTCACGGCCAGTGTTTTGTTGAAAAAGAACAAAAACATTGCAAGTATGAACTGAGAACATTTTTTATTTATAATGACTTATTAATTTATATCATAATTTCTCATTAAATTACAATTAAGAATGGCATTTCTTGTATTTTTTATCAGATAAAGAAAGTTCGCTTAACCTTAGAAAGTATTTTTACATTTCTTAACTGATATTTGTAAAACCAAGGCATGCTCGAATTGTAATCCGATAAAGTATCTATAGAAATAAGCTTTCATTGTTTAGCAATGCTATTACCAGTGTTTATCGCATAGAAAGCATAAATACCAAAATTCCTATTTTGTTGTCTGATTTGTAAAGTTAAATCTATTCGAATCTTGAAACTACTTGTTTAACCTCTTTGTGTTTTGTATAACTTACTGCCTTCGAGCTAAACTCAAGCTCTAAAACTCACGTAACATAAAGAAGAGGTAAAACTTAACTAAAAATTTATTAACGCTACTCCTTGTAGAGTTAATTATTAACGCTGTAAAATTTAACATAACTTCTTCCTTGTTCTCTAGACACCTCAAGGACACAGATGCCGAAATATGAACATTATTAGACTTTTAAGTACGTATCCGCTAATAGATAGATTTTAAACTAATATTAGCCATAACAAGAACTCTATTTTCTCAAAATAAATTAAATAAACATAGTAAGATTATGTCATTTCTCTCGCCCACCAACGGCCGAGTAATAAAAGCGTTGAATATACTTGCACTTTATTATTAAAGGTTCATATCTCGGTGAATGGATTGTTGGAAGTTCTTCTGGTTTTCCTCATGCGGAACGAGAATATGAGCCAGTTTCTCTTCGAAAATCCTTCACGAAAGCATCCTATCCCTTGGGCAAATAGCCCTTAAGTGCTTTCTTCATAATGCAAATACATATCAGTATGCTCTCTCCTCGAGGAATTTTTGTCTTACAACATGCAGCATAATTACAATCAAGTACTGTCTGTTAAGCCTTTCGGTGTCATGCAATTCTTTTTTTTTTTTTTTTTTTTTTTTTTTTTTATGTGTGGAGGGTTTCTTTATTCTTGAGAATAAAATATTGTTTTTTTTTTTCTTGAATACAGTTGTAATATTTTTATAACCACATCTCTGATAAAATGAAATACTATAAAAGATAAAATAAAATTATCTCACTTCCATTGATGTAAGTCAGTATTTACCCTTCAGGGAAAAGACAATTCTAGTAGTCATACTTTCGAATATCCGGAAGGACTTACGGTCTCATTTAGTTAGGGTATTTGTAATTCTGCTAAAGTCTTACTTGACTGAAGTCTCTTTGTAGTCAGGTGCATTGTCATGCTACCAACATTTCTCATTGCCATTCTTATTGACCAAGAAACGATAAGGTAAACTTGTCAAGGATATCAAGGCAAACTTCTTGGTTAACATTTGAATTTCCCGCAAGTATATTTTAAAATTATTTAATTGATATCACTCTGTGGCCAAGCGCATCTTCATGCTGGCTCAACGGTTCTTATCGCCGTAGTATTGTCCCAAAGGTTGATACAGTATAACTGTCAAAGATGTCAAGGTTAAAGCTGTTTTCACCGTTATCAGTGGATTTAGTCCATACTCCATAAAAAAAAAAGCCCCATACAACAATAATGTCATCTCCAAAATTGTGACGGGAATTCATGTACTTCAATAAGTAATGCTGCTCTGATTACCGCTATACTCGTTATAAAACTTCATGGAATGAAATTCTCTTGGAATAATACTTCTGTATATACAGGCTCCAGTTATATACTTCTACTTTAATTTTTACTTACTAATGTGTTATTTAGATATCACGGCTTTCGTTAGACCTCCATGTCTCTTACCCTTCATTTGTTTTCGTCTGTCGATAAGTTTTATTAAAACATGCCGTTCTTTTTCCAGCAGTTTAATTGTGCTTTTCTACAAGTAACGTCTTTCGTTTTCGTGCGTGAAACGCACAATATGAAATCATGCAGTACATTTTCGATTAATCCCCCAAATGTGAAGTGAAGCAGGAAAGCCAGATGCATAATTTTTTTTTCCCTTTAAACATTTATACTTTTCCACAGTGCATTGCTCAAAGTAACGGTGAATAGAATAGTGTGTGTTGATTTTTAAAAGCAATCCAGTGATTTTCATCCCCTATAATGTACTAAGATAATTACTTTAATGCCGTTTCTCATATATTTAAAATTTATATTCATAATGAAGAAGAATTATTGCGCTACAAATCATTTTTTGTTATAGTCACTACGACATAAGCAAGAACTGAAACTGCAAAATAATTCAAATGCAGTTCTCCTTAATGGAAATCATGAAATCAAATGAAAGCGAATGCTTATAAAATAACCAGATGCCATATTTTACTAATTATTGTAGCTTTTGAGATAAAAAGTGCAATTAACATTTATTTCCCCCCATTTTTTAGATGCCAAGGCAATTACATCGGATCCCGATGCGAAATAGATGGAGAAGGTATGTAATTTTTTCACCTAAAGTTACATAAATGAGTTCCACTGAGGGAAATGACTGGAGTTTGCGAAATTTAATTAGGAAAGATATTATCGTTTTCGTGAAAACTTTTATTTGCAGCTATGATACAACATCCAAAGTTTCTAACAAATACTCAGCAAAGGCATTTGTCATGTAAACGTAGCGGAATTTGACATGTAAACGACCCCGTGTTCCTGGGTGTAAAATAGCTATGTAAAGGCACATTTTCATTTCTCACACAATCTATCGCTAAACATAGTTCTTAAGACACTCTCAGAGACACCCTTTATTTCAGTTATCAGAGTAGTGAATCTGCATCACATATTCGTTTCTATTACTTGAGGCATAAGTGAGGCTACTAATCCTTAGCTGATGAAGATCACTCTGGCTATTAAAAGTACTAGTTCGAGCAATTCAACTAATCTCTGCCTCCCTAATCATTCATTAGCTATGAACAACTTTGTGTTGCATTTCAAGATTTCAACGCTTTGATCAAAAGCGCTAAGTTCTTGACAATGCATGTTCAGATATCGACAGACGAGTGTAAGTTCCGGGTTTTAACTTTACGACGAATGGATTAATCCAGGCTTCTCGTTAAAGCTTATCTGACTCGGTCAACAACAACTTCCTCGGAAACGGTAGGTCTAGCAGCACTCTTACATTTTCTGTATTCTTAAAATGCTGGTACCAATGTTTAATGCGGTATTAGGAGGATATCATCTGTACTCTAAGAGAAAATACCATGCGACATTTATTACCAGATTCGTTTTCATGAATCCACAGAACACTGTTGTTTTCTACAGTCCGGTAGCCATTGCAGAAATGAGGTTCCCTACATCACCACTTTCATAACAACTGTGTTTGTACGAGATCAGCACAACCTCTTGCAGTTATACAGTTTGACACAAACCCACTATAAGTTATATATCAATATGTTAGGGAATTTATTTTATTTACCAATCAAATTCGCTCAGTAATTTATGTCCATATTTATTTTTATTTCTTTATTCATTTATATTTCCAAATCTTGAGTATCTCTTGTCTTTCAGTTCTTGGAGTAGCTTTGGGAGCATCTTTAGCTGCCATCATTATCATTCTACTAACGCTTGCCTGTCTTTGCATTTGGAAGTAAGTTGAATATTTCAAAATAAGGCTTTTTTTTCTTTTGAAAATTATAAGTAGAATGACTTTTACAGGTTACTTATAAGCTACTTAATGCAACAGACCTCTGAATTTTTCATTTTTTTTAAACTCTTATTACAAACTGCAAATTTTGATTTCAGCTTAAAGGACAAAAAATTACAATGGAAAATATGTTTCAGTTTCCCAAAATGTTAAATTTTTGTTTAGTTTTAAAAACTAAACAGAAACTTGATAAATTTTGAAATGCTTGTCTTCCAGTAATTTACAGTACACTTTTCCCTTATCTTATTGTAAAGCTAATTAATAATAAACTTTTTCTTTATTTAATTCTAATTCTAATTAAGTTTTTAAACTTTTCTTTTCCTTGTTTTGTGATGTTTCGGAAGTTTAAGAGTTTTATAAATGAGTTTTAAACTAAACTTGCGTTTTCAGTATTTTCTATTAGGACAGACTGAAAAGATTCCGAAGTATTTCATCAATTATCAAACAACTAAAAGCAGGAAAAAAGTACAAAACTGTCGATTATGATATCACATCTGTAATCACAGGTTACATGCAATGTTATATGTAATAATTATGATATGGATAGGAAATTTTCGAGTTAAGTTTATTTAATTCAAACCAGAATGGGCGTTTGTAGATGCTGAACTAGCATAGTGGAGTATTTTTGAAATCAGGGGATAAATACTGGAAATCAGGGGATAAAATGAGTTAAGTCATTTAAAAGATGTGGCTGATCTTGTCATTTACTTGTAGCTAATAAGTTGCATATCTTTGTATTTGTATCCATATCTTGCACAAAGTTAACTGAAAATAGTAACTGAATTGCCTACTTTTCAAAATTTGACACAAAGTTTAAAATGAGAAAATAATAAATTAACGAAGTAAATAAAATAATCATTATGTTTATAGGTGTGCTGCTAATAATTCAAATATATATAAAATGCACAGAAAATTTTTAAAAAATTCTTGAAGATCTATAGCAGCGGTTCTCAACCTTTTGACTAACGCGTACCATCTATACAAAAATTGAAAACTTGTAGTACCACCACTACAAAGTACTACTACCACCACCACTACTCTTGAACAAAGCTCAGATTGCATAAATTTACGTGTGTTAGAGAAAAAAACTCCATCAGGATGTTGGGGTTTTAATTTTTTAATTAGTAGTTAAAATATTTTACTTATTTGCGTACTACATATTTTTCTCTTGTGTACCACCGGTTGAAAACCTCTGATCTATAGTATTTCAACTATATCTAGCAAGAATGTCAAACTTTATCATAACATTTAGATAGTTCGATCAAACTTAATTACATCATTTTGGATGTCTGAAGAAATTGAATTACATCCTCAAAAATGCTTTGTTTCTCTATCCAGATCTTAATATAAAATCCATTTTCAAAAGCATTGTATCCAAATGAATAGGACCAAAGTAGTTTCCACAAATGAAGGTTAGTTTAATTGATTTAGTATGAAAATGGTACATGGTACAGCATCTGATTGTGTAAAAAATAGTGCAGATACACGAGATCGCGCTATGAATACCTTCGACTGGCTGCTATGCTACCCAGACCATAGAATACGTCTGGAAATACCTAACCACTTCAATCAAATGCGTATGGGATACCTAAGATAGATGCTCGAAAGTCCTCGGACTCGAAAGGTTGGAACTCAAAAATCCACTATGGAAAACAAGTATGAAATCATCTGCATTCGGAAGCAAAAGTGGATTAATGTTCCATGAAAGTATGGATTACTTGGGGCTAAGTATAACACGACATAGCAATAACTAAGTTCTGGCTGGGTATATTCCATATTGACATGTCTAACCTCTTGATTACTGTTAAATGTTGTACAATTATTGTCCAACAAGATCGTCTGGAAATACGCAATTTTTGTAAAAGCATCCATTAAGATGTAAGTTATTAATGATTTACAATGGTTTTTTTATGATTACTCAGACATTAGTATACTGGCATTGCATTTATTTCCACTTCTAGCTACATTATCAGGACACGTATTTCTTTTAATCTGTTTGGCGAACATGACGTGTCCTGATTAGACAGTGAGTTTGGTTACAAACTATGTCTTATGGAGTGTAGAATAGATTACAAGATGAGAAGGGTCAAATTACCCTTTATTTTCCACGGTATTACAAGCGCTCCCGCACTTCGGGATACAAAGACCAACCACTTGTGATCTGAACGTAAAAGTATAAAAACTACTAATTAACTAAAAATACAAGTTAACTTTGAGTGCTTTACACAAATGACTAACACTGTCCTTTTAAATTACTACGTATGTAGGACGCAAACTGCGGAAAACCACAATACGTCTGTAGCTTTCAAGAGGACTAAAACCTCTGGCCTTAAAGGCAGCCAGCAACTGATTGAAGCTCGAGCGAAGTATAGCCGTAAGAAAACTCCCCGTCTGCTGCTCTTGGCAAAAAGTCACAACTTAAATACTTCAGCGTTAGCAAGTATAATTTGTATAAACAAGTTAACGCATTTATTCTGGCCGGAAGTAGAAAATAAGAAAGGGCGGTACAGTTTTAAAATAAAGTAAAAGTTAGTAAAACTTAAGATCCTTACACAGTCATAATAAGTTTTCCGTATATAGGTAAAAATGTAACATTTTGACTTAGAGATCTGGTAATCTTAGACATTACACTAAGATTTCGGCCAAAGGTGTATTATGTAAATTATTTGGTTTTAAGTATTTTCTCGTTTATTTATTTATTTGTTACTTCAAGTCAAATGATAAATATGTTTTTCTTATTTACATCAATACTATTACGATCTAGAAGCCAAAGATTTAATTAAAAGAGAAACATTGAGTGTGGAATTTAAAATTAGAGGAAAGAACTTGGATTGGTACAGGTTTCTGACAATTTTTTTTCAAACATTTTTTACTCCCGAAGAGCAGGGATCTGTACCTGATAAAACTTATGAAATAGATAGAGTTTTATTCAAACTCTGCGCCAATCTAAGGTTGCTTTGTCGCCTAATGTAAAGCCAGTGACTATTCACACGAGATACTCCTTTTGTGTTTTTCCACAACCATCTTATGAAAGCAGTTGCTTGAACAAACAATTTCAGTTAGAAGCAGCATATACAATAAATTTATTTTAAGTAATGTATAAAAACAACTATGCACAAAAGCGATTCTTGTAAGAATATATTTTTATTTTTAAATCACATATATAGCTCTTCCATTTTATTTTATTCTTATTGCATGATTAAAATAATTTTACAGTAACTTTAATTTGCTTGTATTACTTTACCAAACAGCCGTAAATGGAAACAACAACAACAAAAAGCCGAAGTTCTTTCAGCAAGATCTTACAACAGCAATCAGACATTCAGCTATATGAGCAACATCATGAATGCAAATGCAAACGCATACCAGTTGACTATGGAAGACAGAATGAGGTGGGCACACATATCTGACGTTGCAAAGAATGTGTCGGTGGTATGTAACTCATAATTTTTTCACATATTTATTAAAGTTTATTTTCTCTTTGGCTACCAATATAACTTCGTGTATATACTATATATATGTGATGTATCAGCTTTAGTCGTAGCTTAAATAATCAGACGATAAGTTTAAAAAACAGGATCCATTTATTATTATTCAGGAGAAAAAGCAGTTACAAAAATAAGATATCCGGAGTAAATAAAAAGAATTACTAATAACTTTTTATATGTAGTTTACTGCATCGTGACATTTAAGAAAAAGCTCCCGATATTCCTTTTGCGAGTCCTTTTATAGCCTCTGGAAAGGCGGAGCTTCCAAGAAATGACGTCAGCCTCTTCAGCCAATCCAGTTCGCTTTAAATATCTCCAGAACATTCTAAAACTGTACGTGTAGAAAAGGCGGGAAAAAGAACTTGACTACGGGGCTGTGGATTTAATTCCACGTACTTTCAAATAAGAGAACGTCGCCATTAAAAATGAAAAGAACATACAGTTAGAATTTTAAGTGTATTCTTGACTATGGAATTTTATTATTACATATATATATATATATATATATATATATTATATGTGTGTGTGTGTGTGTGTGTGTGTGCGTGTGTAACAGAAATAAAGAATATGTAAAAGATTAAATTAGCAGCGTAGATTAATTTCCCTTCTCTTTTCTAAAAATAGAATCCCTTTCTCTTTTCTAAAATAATTTCTCTCTGCACTTTAAAAATTTGCCAAAAGGGGCGCGAAAAAAGATTGTTTAGATTCTAGTAATGCCATACGAGTTTCGATACCTAGATACAAAAGAACAGGTTGAAGGCAATTCTAACGTTTTTTGATGAATTTGTCATAAATGCTGACCAAGTTTCTCAATTTGTCTTTCCTCGTGCTACTTTGTTTGCTACTGACGTTATTATTACGCTGCTCATCAACATTAAAGGATATTCACAGAAATAAAACTTAACTGACTAAAAAATAATTGGTAACGATTTTCGCAAAAGCATTAACATAAATTAACATATTTATAGTTCAACCATCTCAAACGCAACTCAAAAAGGGGCGTTATTACTTGCTGCGACTTGAAAGGTCACGTGACGACCTTTAGAAAGAGATATGCTCGAGAAAAAGAAAATGCCCATTCTTCCACCCTATTTTGAGAATAATTCGGTCCTAATGGCGCATGCGTGTTTGCGCTCATGGTCGCGGATGAGGCGGTCGAACTATACCAGGTGATTCATCTCAAAATATTGACTTAAATGTCAAATTTTTGCAAATTAAAAATGATGGAAAAAATATCTTTCTTGTTTCGCAACAAGTATCCCTTTAATATGGTCCGTGATTGAGATTATTTAAAATTATATAACTTAATATATTAAAACCTTAATTGAAAGTTAAATAAATTTACTTGAATCAGTGTTAAATATATTTAAAATCTGATTGCTTAAAAAATTATTCATAATTTTTGTCTGTGGGATATGCACTGATAAGACTAGATAAAGCAAGCTTCAGGTTTTCACATTCTTATCGGCTTCAGATTTATCAGAATAAATCTGAAGCCGATAAGAATCTGTTAAGACTCATATCTAGGTAACTTTGATTGCTTTCGGAAATTCTGGTTAAGTTACTTAAAATGCGATAAAGGTTCTATCCTTATCTGAGTAATGTCTTGAGTAAATAAATGTTCTAATACTCTACAGTAAGTCATGATTATTTCGTATTTAGTTCTTAATAATATGTTAAGAAAATGGGTCTAAGATCAGTATTCTGTACTAAGACAGCAATATAGCAAAATCTGAATATAACATTTACTCTTATTAATTAAATTACAATCCTCGAAAATGCGTAAAGTTCATATCATATGCACTTGCACCTGTAATTATGAAAATCTTTAACATATTTTGCACGAAATGTTGTACTGAAAAGCTGCTATATCTCATTAAACCGGTATTACAAATTAATATTAGGTAATATGATGAGGATTTTATGAAGAAATTTCTGTATTCGGAATATATGAAAGTTAAAATACTCGAAAATATAATGTACATTGGTGTAAATATCTCTTACTCTTTTTTATTGGTTCTGTAAATATATGTATATCGGTAATGGTTATGTTGTGCAAAAGTATGTATATCTTTAAAAAGATTTTGTTCATAAAAAATGATTCGGAAAATATATTAATGAAAACTGACATTCCTGAATGAAAATCGTGTCCTATTTTAGATAAAAGGAATATTCTGAGTCTATGTGCTTAGAACAGAATGTTATTATTAACATAATTCAAAAATCTTCGTAAAGCAGTATATGGTCTCTAAATAGAGTAAAGATTGTCAGGTGTATTTCCTAATGATTTTGAAAAACTTGTGAAATAAGCACTAAAAGTTGGAAATCTCGAAGGATGCTTACAAATAAGTAATGCATGATAACCTCTTCTTATCGCAAAATATTATACCTTAAGGTATATTTAGACACACATATTCAGTCTGTGAATTCTATATTCTGGAGTAAGAAATAATGAAATATTGAATTTTTTTAATTCATGAAAACTGAAGTATGAGAAGTTATGAAATAAATTGCAGTGAAGTCGGTTAGTAAATTAGGTTGATACTGAACTACCGAATAAAAGGATATATGTTAGAATTAAAAGTAAAAGCCATTAAAAAAGTTAAAATGATAATATGGTAGAACTAAAAGTAAAGTGTTAAAGTTTAAAAGAGATGCTGTTGAGTAAAACCATTCAACAGTAGTAACTTAACTCTGGTTCGGTATTGAAATGTTGGTTTTTTGAATTCCCTTGTTCATGGGACGATTGGGACGTAAATAGTCTCTAGTTTCTCTTGAAGGTTTTTTATGAGAGCAGATAGAGTTGAAATTATTTAGTGCAGGAAAACATAGTTTTGCAAAATTCGCATAGCCACTTCGCTTAAAATGTGAAAATAACTGTGAGTGGTGAAAATTAACAAAAAATGCTGAATTAAGAGGCAATAAATGTTAGAAGTAGTAAGACAAATTTGTGCATGCGTGCATGAAATAGTCAATATAGTTCTAAAATTACGTATGAAAGTTAAGATTTCGCTTTAAAAATTCAGAATATATCAAGCTGGCTAAAAAGTAATCGAGGTTCGAAACTAAGGATTGGTAGCACCAAAGAGCTTAAAAGCAGGTACTCAGATATAAATTTTATTAAAAATTAAAAGGAAATATATGAACAGGAGAGAAATTACAAAGGCTGAAAATGCGAATGAGTTAATAACGATAGAAAGTACTAGATTTAGTAATGGTAAGACTATTACAGAATGAGAAACTTTAAAGCATCTAAATTAAAACAGAACCATAAAATATGAAGTAAATAAGGACTGTTCAATGTATAACTTACGAATAACCATTAACAATCGTAAAATAAAATGTTTCATTTAAAAATCTCGGTATTTTTAAGAAATTTAAACATGTGAAGAAATCAGGTAAAATATAGTAAAATAGCAAAATAAGTAAAACCAAACGCTGAACTGAAACTGAACTGAACTGAACTGCGCAGCTGAACTGAAACAGGGGTAGCGTCATGGACCTAGGTCCATGACGCTACCCCTGTTATGTCGGAGCGCACTCCGTCTAACTTTATCTCTACATGGGTGATTCACAACTGCTAAACAAGCTGGACTGGATTCAGATTTGTCGAGTAATTCAGGTGATAAAAAGCTAACGCCGGAAAACGAACTTCTCAGAGTTGGGCGAGGAGATATTACAAAGTCTCATCTAAAGCCCTCTATCTGACATTCAGGAGCTCTGTTTTTATACACACGTATCCCATTTATATATTGGTGAGAGCAAAGCAGAATTGATAGCGAAGTTCAAATCATAATATAAATGAGTTAATTAAACTAAATACTTGACAGATATATTTGAACGTATACGCTGCATTAATAATGCAGAATCGACTTCTGGCAATCAATTAAACTTCGAAATTCTGTTGAGTATTCTTAGATTCTTAGATGCAGCAGCACTTTCTGTGGCGAAATGATACTCAAGGTTCTTTTAATCTAAGGCCTTTTTTTTTTCCAGCAACCAAATCCAGAGTTGCCGTATGTCTCATCAGTGCCACCAATAGATCAAAGTGGATTTCAAGCCCGTTGCCAATTACCGGGCGAAGATGAAGCATCGTGGTATGATTATCGCACCCGACCACGTTCACGGATGCTTTCTCATGCACCGGTAAGCATAATTGCCTGATTAAGTTTCTCAATGAAAAAATCACTTTGTGAATTTTTATTATATAAGAAAGAGATTCATCAAAGATTTTACGAAAGATTCTGAGCAATGTTTCAAGCTTTTACCGCGCTTCTTTTGTGAAACACGTATTTCTCAGATTTATTCAAAACCCATGCTTGCAATATATAGATCAGTTCTTATAATAGTTGCTCTTATATTATGTACTCGCATGGTCTCTTTCAAATTCAGAAATTTTTATTTTCATTTCAAATAAAATCCTTTATTATTTACGAAGAAAATATTTTGATATCGTTACTCAAAACTTGGGTGATAAATGTTTAACATCACTATGGAAACCTCCCGTAATTTTAATCTGGCTCAATGATATGAAGCAAATAAATTGCTTCAGAAAATGTTTATTCCTTTCTCCCGTTGTTCTAAAGATCTAGGGCATCTCCATTAAATTTCTGATTTTGGATTAGTTAATTATATTAAGCATGTATTTGTTGAAGGAATGCGCAATTCATATGTTTGTCAACTAAACGCAGTTAACTTGAGGTAAGGCAAATATTAAAGTCGCATTAAAGTTTCTTTCCTCATTAAGAGGTGATCTAAACTGCGAACACGAGAAAGAGTTAAAACGTAGAAACGTATTCATTATTAGCTGTAAGAAAGAAAAAAATATCGTTTGATAATACAAGCTCTATCAACTCTGCATCAGCGGAGTTGATAGAGCTGCATCAGCGGAGTTGATAGTTTTGCCACTTGTTACTATTGCAGTTATAGAGCAAACAATGAATAACTTGGCTCTTTCCTGTTATAAGTTCGTATACGTCTATATTAAGACGCACTTGAAGTACCTTATGCAACTTACACAGTTATCTGAAAAATTCTTCGGTGGGTTCTCCCTTTCTGCCTAGCCAAGAAAGAGAATTCGGACTCAAAAGTCAAATTCTCAAGATTTCTGATAATGCTCTTTTTGTTATTTGTTTCGCTAATGGAGTTGCATAGTTGCGAATGATTTTATGGAACGTAAGGCTTACTTTCAATGTAAACTTTTTTTTTTTTTTTTTTAAACGCAGTTTTTATAGATGCGCTTGCAAGCATTCAAATGTGAATTGTGCATGCCTAGCATTCCCGGGCACGAACTTATATAAAGCTTATACATCTTATTTGTCCAGGAAATTTCTGTTCTAAAGTTGCTTCTCTTCACATAGGAACACAGATGAGATTACAAAAGGTGCAAAACAAAATCGGAGTCTTCTTTGTTTTAAATACTAGTTTTGTTCCCGTAAGATACGTATATTATGCGTAATACTCTTTTCTGAAGCTGTTTCATTGTGTGTCTTCGACATGAAAAGCCATGGGTTGACACGGTAATAAATTAATTTAAAACTTTTCATCACACTGTAAAAGAAAGCAACCATAATCCATAAAATGTTGAAGCAGGTGACAGAGAGTTCATGATGCAGAAATCGCATTACTTAATGGATTTAATTTTTATTAAGAGAGGGGATAAGATATGGCTGATCCTGCCATAGCACCTATAAGAGGCTATAAATAGATTTTATTCTACTATTCAAATACAACTCCTGCCCCTTAAATTTTAAGTTCTCAAATGAGTTACCGCTGCTAGCTTAACTACGTTCTAAAAATAAACAGACATAAATATTTGAGTTAATCTTATGTTATTTTACGTCACTAGTTTTGAGGAGTAAAATGAGAACATCGCAAAACAGAATTACCAGTTGCCTTGACTTCGTGGTGAAACAAAATAGTCCTTAAACAGTCTTTTAAATTTACAAAGCTAAATACATCTAAAAGAGGCTATAACTATGAATCGGAAACTATAAGCTAGCTCACTTTTTAATTTATTAACCAAGTATGTTTCGAGATTCTAGTCTTCCGCGAGACAGCGGCTATTGTCTAAGTGACGGGCAGACAACCATTGTTAAACCGAACTCTCATACGGTTTTGATTACTTTCGTTAAATTTATCCTGAGCTTTTTGCCACTTATATCTTCATAAACTTTCTGGATTGAGCAATTCAGTGACGAGTGTGAGACATATAGGAAAGCTGCAAATTAAAGTGAACTTATTAGTAATACACAACTATAACAACACAACGTGATAGCCGAATTGCCCTCATCTGTGCGCATCGATGAAAATATCGCTTGTATGCTATATTGGGTGAAGCGTGATCAGTGACTAGCTGTTAGAATGATTGCTGAAGAGTTAAATTTAGGAAAAATGATTATTCAAGAAATTGGGAAAGAGAAAACTGTATTCAATGATCGTCCTAATCTTTTGACTGCTGAATAAAAACCTGAAAGAGGAGGAGCGCCATGTTGATTCGTTAAGCGTTTAAGAATGGCAAATTGTTAAGTGTATGAATTATATTTGACACTAAAGTTTCAGAGCAAAGGAATAAAGACCAAAGAAAAATCAGATCAATTAAACCTGAAAGCAGATCTAGAACCAAAACCCGATCATTATTCTTTTCGACATTTATGAAAATTTTCACCTTGAATTCGTTTCCAGAAAAATAATCTATAATTGCGTCTTACTATATGAGTACTCTGAGATGTTTACGAAATCCTCAGCAAGTATCCAAGAAGAAAGCGGATAAATTTTGCATTTCATTAATGCACCATTGCACACAACATTAGTTCTTTGTGAATTCCTAGCCATAACTTAATCACTGTGTCTAAACATCATTCATATTCCCTTGATCTGGTTACCTGTGACCTTTCTATTTCGAATCAAAATGGTGTTGCTCGAGCGGCATTTTGGAGACGTGGAAAACAACAGGAAGGAAGTAGCGAAGAGGTTGCAGGATCAATCAGAAAACAGACATTCAGTAGTGTAGTTAGTAGACATTCACTTTCTCGAAACATACCTTCCAACACCACATCATTTTTCTTCATTAAAGCATTATTTTGCTGTAAATGCATTAATAATAGAAGAGACAATATCGAAGCTGACATTGCTGATGTAATCTGAACACAGCCAAATTAAGTATTCATGTGTTTCGTCCATGAAATTTCCAGATGGACTATGTACACATCATTCATTCATTACGAAATGTTCTCAATGAAAATTCCCCGTCAGAGATATCAGTAATGTATTTCTTATAGAATTTGCGTCATTCACAAAATCTATGATATCTGACCCGATTTTTTCGAAGAGAAATTTGTCACCATAAGCCGTCACCATAACTTAGCAGTATTGAATTAAGGCAGACATGTGCACATATATGCTGCAACAGTTGCGTTTTACATTAAACGAAATGGATAAACGGATGCAATTTGTAGGTGTAACTGGATGGGTATCTTATCTAGCACTGTAACACGTTAATGCGTGGAGGCAGTACAAAAGTGAGTTTATAACCGTGGCGATGCAGTTTCTCTGGAGTTGGACTGAGGATTTTACTGAAATATGCTACAGTTTGACCTTTCTGCAGGAGAATAGCCCTTACCTCGTAATCGGAGGCATCTGCAGAAATTTCTAAATTTTCTTCGCGTTCAGGAAACTTTAACTCAGGTGCTTGCATTTAGGATTTAGTTTTCCAAACACCATATCGGCCTCGGCTGACCAAGTACAGCGGATTTTCTTTATCTTTTAATTGTAATAATGATTCGGCTATCTGAGCGAAGTCTTTAATGAAAGTTCTATAACTTGAACACATACCTAAGAATAATGATAGTTCCTTTGCAGTATTTGGCGGAGGGTAGCTTTTAATAGCTATTATTTTATAATTTTCTGTTCCTATTCCTTTATTGGATATTTTACATCCTAAGCACCGAAGTTCTGGAGCTGCGAACTTACATTTGGCAGCATATAGTTTTAGTTTATCTCCATTTAGAAGCGAAAATACTTCATGTAAGTCTTTAATATGTTCATCGATTGTTTCAGTCGTAGCTATAAATATTATATCCTATAAGTACATAAACGTATTCTTCCCAACGACTGGTCTTAAGATCGTATCTATTGCGTGCTAGAAAGTGGCGGTTGCTCTGCATAAGCTGAATGGCATTCTCAGAAAGGCGTAAACACCGGACTCCGTAATGAATGGGGTTTTCGGAACGTTTTTCACTCCAATTTACAAGTAACCAGATGTTAAATCCAACATTGTCTTGAATCGGGTTGATTTAATTTTCCGAATAATGTCTTCAATTATGGGGAGGGGATAGACAGTATACTTAGTTATACAGTTACTGCTTTATATAGGCAACAGCGAAACGCCGTGCTTTGTGGTTGGCTGGTAGGAGATAATTTATCTTTTTACACAACAACAACACAGATCTAGCATAAGGACTGCTTATTGGTGTTACAGTTTTATGCTTTATTATGTCTTGGATATGCTCCTCGATTATTTTCTCCTTTATTTCATAGTAGCGATAAGGTTTTGTCTTCACTGGGGCCACGGTACCGGTATCTTTACTATATATGTGTAGCCTGGACAATCATCAAGCAAATTTGAAAATTGGCTTACCAGATCTTGAAATTTTTCCTTTTCCTCCCTCCCCAAGTGATTCAGTTCAATCTCCGGTAGCTGCGTCTGTCTTTTCTCCAGCTGTAAAACAGAATCTGGAAAGTTAAATCAGTTCCTGCCTCCTTAAGAAAATCTATCCCTAAAATTACGGCAGTTTGAAGATTTTTCAAGATAAAAAAAAGATGACCTTAATTGTTTGTTCTTAACTTGTACATGTGATAATATTTTGCCTATGCTTGTGCACTGCTTGCCTTGGGCTGCAAAAACTTTTGCCCCCTTCGGAATTAAAGGGTCTACATTTTCTAATGTTTTTTTTTTTTTTTTTTTTTTTTTCCAATGGCAGATTGTGAACAATTACAAATGTAACCCAGTCCATTAATCTATACAAGGCAGATGTGGTGGTCTCTTTATTATGGTGGCACCTAATAGGTGGGCCGCCTTCGCCTTTCCTATGAAGGGACGGACAGTTACAACCACGCCTTCTCCGGGATTCGAACCCAGGCCTTTC